AAAAAAAAAGAAGAAGAAGCTAATAGTTCGTTGAAGAATCTCACTTTGATGAACATCCTTTAAATTTTTTTCGAACTAGACAACATTTTTTGAAAATATCCAAACAGTATCAAAATCAATTTTTCATCCTAGAAATAGTTTTTAATTTTTCAAAAGCCTTTGCAAACAAGTTCACTTCCGTTAACTTTTGACTACAAGTGTATTAAGATCGATGGTCAAGAATTGCATTCAGAACATGGTGTTCTCTATATCATGTAGGAAGATTTGTCATCAAGCAGCTTTCAAACTTTAGAACATGGTGGTCAAGAATTACGTTTTGGAGGTTGAAGTAATCAAAATTTGGAGAATTCTTATTTGTTGAAATATTGACTTGCAATTAGTGAAATCCATCTAAACTAGAGAGGGTGAGGAGCCAATGTAAAGATTTAGCCTTAGATAATACAAGCAAGCTTCTAATTTTATATTAATTTAAAAGAAATTAACTTATAAATGAGAACTATATGTACAAATACTAACAAAGAATTATTAAATTCAAACTATTTTTAGAAAACATCTTAAAAGATTATTATCATGGGATTAAAACAAAATAACATAATAACAACCTATGTACTATGTAGTATTTTGAAGATAAGAAAGAAGGAAAGATAACAATGGCAGAAAGATCAAACCAATATTCTAAATTGAATCTTCAAAATTTTAATTAAAAGGGAGATAATTTATGATAAATGCAATTTGTTTATTTATTTATGCCACATTATTAAACTTTTAAGTCGTCAAATTATTAATTTCTATTTAACTTTCTTTTGTTTTTAGTGAAGGACTCGTAGAGAGCAATTGGAGAGAAAGAAGGACGAAAATTTACCAAAAATGCAGTTTTGGTATCAAACTCCACGTGCTAGAAATTCAAGGACTAAATTGCACTATTTTAAAAGAATTGATGGCTTGGAGAAAAGTATACATCAATGGGCCTCAAGTTTGGATTTGTATGGGGAAATACATGGAAATGACCCAAATAGAAAGGCCATTTTTCCAAAATAGCCTTCGGCTAATTTTGATACCCAAAATACCTCTTCATAATATTGCATAATAAGTTGATGAAATATAGAAATCTTTCAATTGAGTCCTTAAAAAAATAAAATACTGTATGAATTTTAATGAATTGCCAATTTATATGATTTATT